ATTATTTCTCCCCAACTTGATAATTTTAATGCAACTCAATCAAAATTTCTATTTTTTATGGAATTTCATCCTTCATAGGAAGGAATAAGTATGCAATAATAGCTCAGACTATTTTGGGGGTGGGGGGAGAGGAAGAAAAAGAGAGAGAGGAAAGAAAGAAGGAAGGATTTGTTCTAATATTGACATATTATAAAACTGTAGTAATTAAAACAATGAAATTGGTGCAAAAATGGATATTTAGGTCAACAGAACAGAATAGAAAGTTAATAAAACAGAATAGAGAGTCCCATGCCTAAATGGGAATTTAGTGTATGATTATGATTGCATATCAAAACTACAGGTAAAGAATGGATTAGTCAAGAAATGGCTTGAAGATTGAATGGTTGGGCAGCAACCAGCCATTTATATAAAAAAATTAAACTAAATTCCTACTTCATACCATACACACCAACAAATTCCAGATGGATTTAACAACAGTGCAAAAATAAAACTTAAACATACTTGAAGAAAATATATTTAAAAAAATTTCTTGATGTCTCTGTTAATCAGGATTCTTGGTTCTTTTTTTTTTTTTTTTTTTAAAGATTTTATTTATTCATTTTTTTCCCCCCAAAGCCCCAGCAGATAGTTGTATGTCATAGGTTCACATCCTTCTAGTTGCTGTACGTGGGACTCGGCCTCGCGCTGGACGGAGAAGTGGTGCCTTGGGGCGCGCCCGGGATCCGAACCCGGGCCGCCAGCATCAGAGCGCGCGCACTTAACCGCTAAGCCACGGAGCCGGCCCTCTTGGTTCTAACAGAACCAATAAAAACCAACCCTGGTTAACTTAGGCAGAACAGTTAATTTATGGGCAGGAGACAAGAACTTAACAAATGGGTAGGAAGCTACAGAAAATGGCAAGAAGTAAAAGTCTTTCTTAAATATGACAAAAAAGGGAAGAACCATCAAGGAAAAGTAATACATTTGTGTATAAATTTATAAGGAACTTCTAGAAAACAGCAGGAATATGATTTGTCACAACCACTTTTGTTACAACCAGGGAGATCTGGCAGCCTCTGGTAAAGCTGCGTCTACCCTATGATCTAGTAAGTTCCACCTCTTAGTGTCCACCTGGAGAAATATACAGGCTTGTGCCCAAAGAGACATGATGAAGAGTGGGCGTTGCAGTCTTATCTGTAATTCTGAGAAACTAGAAACAACCTAAAAGTCTGTCAGTAGTGGAAGAGATAAAACAGAACATAGGGTAGCTGGTAAAAGGAATGTGACATCACAGATAGATAATCTAGAAATCTTACTGAGGGGAGAAAAACAAGTTGGAGAATAATACAGGCAACATTATGCTGTTTTTGTAAGGCGACACATAAAACATTACTGCAAATCATTTTTTTAAGATTCAGAGGAGGCTGGAATGGAGAGATAGTAAGATTTCAGCTTTATCTGTAATGTTCTAGTTTTTTAAAAAGATAATACTTAGGTATTTAAGGCCCACAGGGCTTGTTGGGTCTGGCCCCCTGACTACCATTTAGCTTCTTCTGACACCATGTTCCACCCTCTCAGAGCTTCATCTAGATTTGCTTCCCAGTGCCTCAGGACCTTTGCACGTGATGCTTCCTCTGTCCAGAACCTTGCCCCTCCTTCCATCACCTAGTTTAACTTACCAGTTCCTTTGGATTTCTGTGAGAAAACCATTTCCTCAAGAATGCTTTCTTGGGGCTTCTGACCTAGGTAAGCTCCTGTCCTTCAGAGAGCTACCTTCGAATATAATTATGCATACTCTCTGTGATTATTTTATTAACCCAGCTCTATGAGAAAGGGACAGTGTCAGGCTTGCTCCTCACTGTGTCTGAACAGCCCACTTCATGTCTGGCACAGAACAGCCATTCAAGAACTATTTGTTGGGGGGCTGGCCTGCTGGTGTAGTGGTTAAGTTTGGCACACTCTGTTTAGGTGCCCTGGGTTTGTGGGTTCGGATCCTGGGTGTGGACCTACACCACTCATCAAGCCAGGCTGTGGCAGTGACCCGTATACAAAATAGAGGAAGATTGGCACAGATGTTAGCTCAGGGCCAATCTTCCTCACCAAGAAAAAAAAAGAACTATTTGTTGGAAGCATTAAAGACTGAGGGTTAGAAAAATCTGTGCACTTTCCTAAAACAATTGTATCTTGTGGCCCCACACCTAACACAGCCCAGACCATCGTCATTTCGCTGCTCTAACTGCAGCCTCCCTCAAGGTTCCCTACTCCTGGCTGTTTAAGCTTGAAACCACCCAGGATCATTCCTAACGCTTCACCCCTCATATCTAATCAGTCTCTTCACCTGTACGTTCTGCTCGTCTGCACTCTCACAGCCACCTGCCTAATCCAACCGCCATCCTCGCACACCTGGCTACTGCAACAGCCTGAGCCTCCCCCATCCATTATCCCAGCCAAGCCATTTCCACCCACCTCCCAGAGCCATCGACTTCCAAGTGTGAGTTTAACCATGCCCCTCCTCTGTCTGTCACTCAGCACGTCTATAATATTGCTTCAGCATCTGGCTTACCTGTAGAGTGACCAATGGTCCCGGGTTCCCTGGGCCTGAGGGGTTCTTGGGATGCCAGCCTTTCAGTGTTCACACTGGGAAAGTCCCAGGCGAACCGAGACAAGTTGGTCACCCGGCTCCCCTGCTGGCCGGTAATTTCCACGAGGGCAGGGCTCCCTGGGGGCTTGGTCACTGCGACAGCCCCAGTACCTCGCAGAGTAAGGACTAGAAAAAAGTTGTTTTTGTGGAGCTAGAAAGTGAATGTAAACACCTACCTTGGTTGGTCCGGCAGCTCACACGGGGCCTACTGCCCAGGAAGTGTCCAAGTGCCATTTTTGCAGATAAGAGGCTGTTTACCTGATTACTGGTGCCCAGTCAGCCGTACTGAATCAGCTAAAGCCGACCTCAAGACCAGGGCTCTAACCCCTCTGAGAGGAAGCACCACTCCGGGCTAGGCTGCTTGGCTTCTGGTAACCTCGTTATGTGTAAATCCCCTCAACTCTAGATTAGATCGCTCCTTCTGGAACTTCCACTGCTATACACGCTCACCCCCCACCCCCTGGACCTCTTTAACATCCTTTCTCACAAACACAGAGGTGGAGTACATTGTGGGTAAGAATGGCTGCTTTGGGGTACTCTACAGACTGAATCCACACTTAGTGGCCGTGTGACCTTGGGTAAGTCACTTCTCTCAGTATCTGCTTCTCTATCTGTAAGGAAGAATTCAGGAGCCAGCCCCAGTGGTTAAAGTTTGGCGCGCTCTGCTTCGGCGGCCCGGGTTTGGTTCCCAGTCACGGAACCACACCACTCATCTGTCAGTAGCCATGCTGTGGCAGTGGCTCACACAGAAGAACCAGAACTTACCACTATACACCACTATGTACTGGGGCTTTGTGGGGGAAGAAAAAAGGAGGAAGATTGGCAACAGATGTTAGCTTAGGGCAAATCTTCCCCTGCAAAAAAAAAAGAAAAAATTTAAAAGTTCAAAAAAAAAAAAAAAGAATTCAGGCTTGCCCTCCCTAGCTCCAATAATGTGTAAAAACACTTTGCAAATGCCAAAAGGCTATCCAGATATTCTGTTTACAATTCCTAGACCTCTCCCATTCATTCAATGCAGCCAACACAGATTTATTTTCTTGTTCCATACAAATCTTAGGACAGAGAACTGGGCACAACTAAGACAGCCTCCCGGTGAACTGAGTGACATGGGAAGTCCCAGGTTTTCCCAGGAAGGGAAGGAATCAAATGATTCCTCTCTAAGCCCCTTGGAAGAACCTGTGAATTCAGTCATCGAGACCATACTTCATTCCTCTTTTCTCCACTCCCCCAGCACGAATGGAGTTGATTGGCAGAAGAAAAGATCTGGGCCACCTTCTGCCTTCACACAAATTGCTCAGCAGGAACCAGGCCATTGAGCCTAAGAAAATTCCCAAGAACCCCTTTGTCCTTTTAATACCCAGGCACCTAAATAAAAAACTCAGTCTGTGTTAGTGCAGGACGTAAAAATGGCTGGAGAGATCGTCACCAAATTTGGAAGGTGCGTTGGGGACGGTTTGCCTTAAAATATAAGCTATGCAGGGGCTGGCCCCGTGGCCTAGTGGTTGAGTTCAGCACGCTCTGCTTCAGCGGGCTGGGTTCAGTTCCCAGGCACGGACCTGCAACACTCGTCGGTGGCCATGCTGTGGCGGCGACCCACATACAAAATAGAGGAAGACTGGCACAGATGCTAGGTCAGGGTGAATCTTGCTCAGCAAAAAAAAAAAGAAAAATAAAGCTGCACTCATATATGAAATTAATCTCAGGGAGCCCTGGGAGAGCTATCAAGGAGTTAGGTCATTGTCTTCAAAGCAGCAAAAGTAATAAACGGGGCCCTGTATGGCTTGCCTACGGGGAGAGAGATGCCCTACATATCAAGGTGCGATGGGCGGAGATAAACTGGTTTCAAATTCCAGCTCTGAATCAAAGACTTGAGCGCACTTCAGAAGAGTCCTTTCTGTCCCCGGGTTCGAGACCTCCAGCTGAAAGCCCGGGTGGAAGACACTAGTTAGTTTGTTCTTTATTTTCATTGGAAAGTTACAGGGTTACTTATCAACAGAATGACTGTCCAGGGCGGGGAGATCCAGTGGTTTCTATGTACAGGCCCATCCCCGGGGTCTGCAGCTCGGGAGGGGCCTCACCCCCGAGACCTCAGTGGGCTCCTTCCCGGGGAAGGAACAAAAACCAGCCTGACCTCGGCACCTGCTGTCAGCCCCAAGGGAGGTGGCGGCTGCTGGTGTGGGACCCGGGCCTTGTCCTGGGGCGGGTGTGGGGGCCTCTCTCCCTGGAGCCTGCCCTGCCGGTAGCCCCCTCCAGGCAGGCTCGTGGGCGCCCACTCTGGCCTTCTTTTCTTTCGAGTTGTCATTTCACACCGAGGCACCCCCGCCTCCCGTCTCGGAGGACACGAGTTTGCTCTGTCGCCTTTGCTTGTGTCCCTGTTTCTGTACAAAAACGACAATACTCTCCATCGGACCTTTTTTTGCCCCAGAAACAAAGGCGGCTCAACAGGTGCAGTTCTGCTGGTCGATCTGCTTGCGGCAGGGTTCCATGGTGACTGCGACACCCACCCCGCTCCGGCCCGACGTCATGCGGGTCACCTCGCTCCAGGTGTCCGTGTCGGGGTCGTAACACTCCACACTGTCCAGGAACGTGTGACCATCGTAGCCTCCTGCGGGGAGAGCAGCGGGGACGGTCACCCCCCCGAGGGCAGGGGGAGAAAGAAGAGGCAGAAGCCACGAGAAGCCTTCCGACCAGGGCCCCCCAAAGACGGGGCTAGTTAGTGCTCTCCAGGCGGTCCCCGCCCCCCGGGCCTCACCGAGAACGTAGATCCTTCCCTGGTGCGCGGTAATCCCCAGGGCGCTCCGCCGATGCTTCATGGGGGCCACGAAAGTCCACGATTCTGTCTCCACGTCATAGCGCTCCACGCTGTTCAGCTGGTCCTGACCATCGTAGCCCCCCGCAGCATAGATGCAGTTGTGCAGGACGCAGACTCCTAAAGGACACCATGCAGAGAGGGTGACTCCAGGGTGGCCCGGCCTCGGGGGCCCCAGCCACCGCCTTCTTACGGGGGCCCTCCCCGTCCCATCTCCTGAGGGACCCTTCACAGCTGGGAGAGAGGAGCTTGGAGACTGTCAGAATCTAGCTTTCTGGGGCCGGCCCTGTGGAGTAGTGGTCAAGTTCAGTGTGCTCTGCTTCAGAGGCCTGGGTTCATGGGTTCAGATGCCAGGAGCGGACCTACACCACTTGTCAGCCATGCGGTGGTGGTGACCCATGTACAAAATAGAGGAAGACAGGCATGGATGTTAGCTCAGGGCCAATCTTCCTCAGCAAAAAAAAAAACAAAAAACAAAAAGAAGAAGAAGAAATTAAAAAAAAAAAAGGTTCTAGCTCTCCTGTGTATGACACAGGGTTCAAGGTTGAAAGGGGAGGCCTCAGTCACGCCTGGCTGGGTTTAACCCCCAAGTTCGGGGGGGTCATTCCTCCACGCTCCCCTCCCCGCAGCCCCTGCCCACCTGCCCCGCTTCGAATGGTGTTCATGGGTGTGATCGTTCGCCACTCGTTCCTCTCTGGGTAGTAACATTCGGCCGAGTTGAGGCGGTTCGTTCCGTCAAAGCCCCCAACGGCGTAGAGCAGCCGGTTGAGGACAGCCACTCCCACCCCGATCCTCCGTGTCAGCATCGGGGCCACCAAGTGCCACTCATCCCGCTCCGGCTCATACCTGCAAGGGCATAAGAACGATGACCACGGCAATCAGAGCCGACCTTCGGGGAACACTTACTGCGGCCCAGTGTTCAGCCAGCTCTTTATGCACTGGACTCTTGAATCCTCACAGTTGTTCTGCAAGGAGCAAGTTATCAGTAGGTCCATTTTCCAGATGAGGAAACTGAGGTTCACAGTGGTCATGTGCTCAAGGTCACATGGGAGTCTGTTGGACCCTGGTGGCTCCGTCATACCACTGCCAGGCCCTGTGCTGAGTGTTAGGGGTCTCATCTCACCAAAGCCCCACCCAGCCTGGTGGGCCAGGTGGCCCTCATTCTCGTCCCCACTTCATTGATGACGAGACGGAGGCACAGAGAGGGGAAGGGGCATGTCCAGGGTCACCGCGGAAGTGGCAGAGCTGGGTTGACCCAGGCCTCTCGGACACCAGAACCCCAATTCTAACAACTGGACTACCACCCAGGATGGTTTTTGTCAAAGTGGGATGCTCAACGAGGGGGTGACCGTATGTCCCGCTGTCCCTGGGCACTTTCAGTTCACACCTGTGCTCCTGGAGTCATCAATAGTGCCCTTTTTCTCCCGAAAGTGACATGCTGAGGGGGACACACCATCCAGTCGTCCTATTCACAGACCATGTGCATTAGAACCCTCTGGAGTATTTTTAAAATTCCCATTCCCCAGCCTGACTCCAAACCCACTGATGCCAGATCTCTAGCATCTCCATCCGTGGGCTGGGGAGCTTGTTTGAACAAGTTCCAGGTGCAAACTGCATCCTGAATCACGCTTCTGGAAAAGAAGGTAGAGGACTAGGCTACGCAAGAGTCAAAAGCCCAAAATGCTTGGCTTCTAAACACAGGGTTACCATGTGCAGTTGTGTGGATTGTGCACTGCACAAGGGCACCCCATCTAAGGGGGCACCTTCCATGTAATAGGCCTCATACATCTGTTTATGACAATTTTGGGGCAGACGGCGGTGAGGTGTCATGTTGGGACAAAATTAGCATATTACGATTTCAAACTAATGGAGCTTTTCCCAAATCTGCACAAAGTTGCTGTCTGGGTTTGTGAGGGCCCCGTGAGCAGTTTCTAGGCCCAGACGCATCATTCAAGGTCACGACCATAAATCTCTCAGGAGTTTGGCTTCACCTTGAGGTAAAGGTGGGGCACAGAGATAGAAACTCAACAACAGGGGCTGGCCGAGTGGCACAGTGGTTAAGTGCACGCACTCCGCTTTGCTGGCCCAGGGTTTGCAGGTTTGGATCCCGGGCGCGCAGTGACGCACCACTTGTCCGGCCATGCTGTGGCAGCGTCCCAGCACCACTTGTCCGGCCATGCTGTGGCAGCGTCCCATATAAAGTGGAGAAAGATGGGCACGGATGTTAGCCCAGGGCCAGTCTTCCTCAGCAAAAAAGAGGAGGACTGGCATCGCACTTTAGCTCAGGGCCCATCTTCCTCACAAAAAAAAAAGAAAAGAAAAAGAAACTCAACAACAGGGGGAATGGCAGATCCCAGTGTCTCGGGCCCTGTCCGCCTTGGGACCCTGGGGAGCCCCTCCTGGCGCCGCCACTCACCTCTCCACGCTGTTGTGGTGGATGCAGCCGTGCGAGCCGCCGATGGCGTAGATGTGCCCGTCGATGACGCCGACGCCGATGCGGTTGCGCGGCACGCTCATGGGGGCGCAGGGCGACCACTGGTTGGTCATGGGGTTGTAGCAGTCCAGGGCGCTGGAGTCGGTGTTGCCGTCGGGCGAGTTGTTGCGGCCGCCCACGGCGTACAGCAGCCCGCCCACCACGCAGCCCGCCAGGCCGCTGCGCGGCACCTGCAGGTCGGCCAGCCGCAGCCACGTGCCGTCGCTGGGGTTGTAGGCCTCCAGGTAGCTGAGCGACTGGCGGAAGTAGCCGCCGGCCGTGTAGATGAGCCGGCCCACCTTGGGGGCCCGGCAGGGCATCACCTGCGTGGGCTTGTGCAGCGTGAGCTCCTGGAAGATCTGCACCAGGTAGTCCTTGCAGCGGGAGTCCGACTGCAGGATCTCGCACTTCTGCAGCTGCATCTGCAGGAAATGCGGCGTGAGCGAGTGGCAGCGCACGGCCCGCAGCAGCGCCTGCACGTAGAAGCGCCGCTGCTCGCAGTCGTACTTGACCCAGTTGATGCAGGCGTGGAAGACCTCGCTCTCACAGCGCACGTTCAGGTCGTCCCGGCTGATGAGCGTCACCAGCTGGCAGTGCGACAGGTTGAAGAACTCCTCTTGCTTGGCCACCTGCGGGGGACCTCAGTGTGACGGGCTGCCCCTCAATCCCTCCCCCTGCCCCTGACGACCTCAGTTTCCTCATCTGTAAAATGGGCATTTGAATAGTCTGAACCTCCTAGGTTGTGAAGATTTAAATGAGTTAATACTACACACCACGCTTGTAGTACATATGTACTCAGGTAGATGGGCAAAGACACAGTGTACCTCTTGGTATCATTTTATATTTGAACTCTAAGAATGTTCCTTTTTTTTTTTTTTATGAAATTACTTTTTCAAAAGAGCAGATTGACTCAAAAGGAAAAAGTAATAGCAATAGAATATTCTAGGGAAAAAAAGCAGGCTCTGAAGAAAGCAGCCTGAGTTGGTTTTTTTTTTTTTCTTGCTGAGGAAGACTGGCCCTGAGCTAACAGCCATTGCCAATCATCCTCTTTTTGCTTGAGGAAGATTGGCCCTGAGCTAACATCTGTGCCCATCTTCCTCTATTTTGTATGTGGCTCACCACCACAGCATGGCTTGATGAGTGGTGTAGGTCCACGCCCGGGATCTGAACCCGAGAACCTGGGCTGCTGAAGTGGAGTGCACGGACTTTAACCACTAGGCCATGGGGCCCACCCCCTGAGTTGTCATTCTGACCCACTACTTTCTAACTGTGTGACCTTGGGCAGATATCTGAAACACTCTGTGCCTTGCTGTCCTCCTCTGTCAAAGGGAGATGATATTAATAGCTGTCTCATAGCAGGGCCACTCCTAGAGTATTAGGGCCCTGGAGAAATATTTGTCAGGCACTGGTTTATACACATAATTTCAGTCACCCCACATCAGCAGGTCACCACCCGTCTGGTACCTGCATTCCCTTGAAACAAACGCTGGGCAGGCCAGTGGGAGAGCCCGGCTCTGGGACCACTTTCCTGGGAGCACTAGGCCCCAGGACTAACAGCAGAGCCCCCTGGGGCACCTCGTCAACCCCACGTATGCTCTAGAAGGAAGGAGAGAAACGGGGACCAGGGCAGCGGCCACCCCAGCTGGTCCCCGCCCCTGGAGGAGGTCTTTGAAATCTTCCAGGAAGGCACCCCAGAGCATACTTCCCCTAGGATAGTTGGGAAGATCCAGGGATCGCAAGGATGGAAATCACTCAGCACGGGGCTGGCCCAGAGCCAGGGCTCGAAGGGCACTGCTTATGTGCCCGGATAAATAATCTTTGTTCACAACTTCCTCCACTTCTAAACGAAAATGAAACCAAGCAGTGCGGAAGGACAAGACTGCGTGGACCAGAGACAACACGGCGAAGGGTCACGCTGGCAGTTGGCAGCTTGTCCCCGGGGGGTTCAATAACTATTTGCTGACTGCCGGAAATGTGAGGCCCTGCTCGGTGAACCCCAGGTTGAGCTGCTGTCATGTTCACTGTGCCCTGTCCCCACCCTTGACCCCAGGGGAACCAGGGAGCCCATGAAGGCCTCCCTGTCCCCAGCCGTGTCCCGGCGTCCCCCCAGATGTGTAGACCAGGAGCTCAGAACCCCATCTTTCTCCAGCTCCCCGCCTCGGCCCTTCTCATCTCCAGCGGAGAGGGTGAGGCCCGCCTGTGCGTCCTGGGTCCTTCCGAGTCCGCCCCCCAAGCGCCCTCGGGTACCCCTCTGGGCTCACCTCCCCAAAGTGCATGTAGATGTACTCGCGGGCGCGCTGGTGCAGCTCGGCACAGCCGATCTGCTCGGCGAAGTTGGCGATGCCGATGGCGTTGCTGGGGTCCAGCTGCTGCACGAGGAAGTCGCTGCAGGCGCGCACCACGCTGTCGATCTGGTACATGACGGCGCCGTTCATGACGTGCAGCACGCACTTCTCGCCCATGGAGATGGACGCGGTGTAGGCGAACTCGATGAGGCGCTCCATGACCCTGGGGTGGATGCCCTCGATGGAGACCACCTCCATGCCCTGCTCCCGCAGCCCGTTGGTGAACATGGCCTTGAAGACGGGGCTGGAGGAGGCCAGCACCACCTTGTGGGCCATGAACTGGGCGGCCGGCACGTCCCCGTACTTGACCTGCAGCGTCACGTCGCACAGCTGCTGGCTGAGCCGCAGCTCGTTCATGATGCCGAAGGCCTGCTTGGTGTGGTCCTCCAGCGTGTAGCTGAAGGTGCGGTTGCCGTGCTGCGAGGGCGTCACCTCGGCCTTGCACTCCGTGGAGGCGTACATCACCGCGTCCCCGGCCCCCTCGGGGCGCTGTGACCGCAGGGGCAGGAATCGGGTGCGGGCCCCAGCCCCGCTAGGCCTGGCTTCCTGCTGCATGGGGTTCCAGGCGACAAGGGACAACACCACCACTGGCACTCAGGGGCCTGGAGGAGGGAGAGCACAGGGCTGGGGGCGGGGCCTGGCGCCAGGCCTCCTTTTTAAGGTAAAGCGACCCCTAGACCAGTATTCCTTGCCAAGCCGTGGTGCAGCAGCGTCCACGTGTGCTCACTAACTGTCCCAAGGGTCGCCAGCCCAAGGGTCCCTCTTAAAATTAACACAGGTCAGATGATGTCCTTCCCCTGCTCAGAATCCCCCCACAACTCCCTATGGCATGAAGAGTAAAAACCGAACTCTTCCATGACCTGCAAAGCCCTCTGCAGTTAGCCCCTCTCCACCTCTTCCCTTTGCTCACTCTGTTCTTGCTATCTGGTGGCCCTTCCCTTCCTAAAGCATGTCCAGCTCATCCTTCATCCACCTCACCAACATTTATTGAGAGTCTACTGTGTGCCAGGCACTGTTCTAGGCACCGGCGACACAGCAGTGAGCAAGACAGACATAAACTGTGCCCCCCTGGAACAGACACTTGGGGAGCAAAGGGCCATAAATAAAATGACAGGGTGACCTGGAGGCAGTTACTTAAAGTCAGGTCGTCCAGGCTTCTGTTGGAGCCAAGACAGTAAGGATGAACATATGAAGGGGGTGTGGGTGGGAGTTAGTGTTCCAGGCAGAGGGAACCGCAAGTGCGAAGGCTCAGAGGCAGAATGAGGAAGGGGTGTAAGGAGAGACAATGACTCTTGAAGGGAGGGTTTCCATGAAACCCGCGGCGTCTGGAGGGCCAGGGCGTGAGTTGTGCTTTGAAAGGTCCCGCAGGGAGAAGTGGGGGATCTGCAGAGGCTCCCCAGGTTCTGCATCTCATCCTTCCGGGGCTCAGCTCAGAGTCACCTCCTGCCTGTTTTATTTCCATCCCCGCGCTCGTCGGGAACCGAAAGGAGCTCCTCTGCTCACTTGGTGAGGGCTGGCCCGGCCCTCTGGCGCTCGCCCCCGCGCATCGGACGGCAGGGAGTGGGGGTCAGGGTTGTGCCCACCCTCGCATGTGCCTCGCGCACGTCCGGCCTGGGGCCTGGCACCGCGCAGGGGTCAGTGAGCGTGTGGCTGGCGGGCTGCCCGCTCTCCCGCGCCTGCCAGGGCACCCTCCTCCACCGGGCCACGGCGGAGGCCCCGGGCCTGCCTCTTGGTCTTTGGCCCATCGATCAACGGTGCCCGCTGTGCGCTGGGCACTCCCCCCCAACCACCACGAAGCGGTAAGTGGGGGACTGCGCATGCCCCGTCGGAGCCTCCACCGAGGCCTGGAGCAGGGAGGAAGTGACCCCGCCGCGGCCTCTCCACTGCCAACCCCAGGGCGCACGCCAAGCCCCCAACGCCCCGGGGTCCCGGGGCCTCCATCGGAGCGGCGCTCCCCGGGCCTCCCGCCCGGCTGGCGTCGCCCCCGCGCCACCCC